CATCATTTGAGTAAACACACAAAAAATACAAAGCAAGAAGCATTAGTGTTAAACACAATGGAGCATCATTTCTCTCATCTCATGTCTCCTTACATATCATCAACCTACGAGCTGAGGAAAGCCGGAGAACAGCCGAAGAAAGTGGCGACCGTGGAGAATATTCCGGCGAGGAAGCCAGCAGCGAAGGAAGGTGACATCAACGAAAGCGCCGAGGCATTTATACAGAGATTCAGAAAGCAGCTTCTTCTCCAACGGTTGGAATCAACTGTCAATAACAGCAATGCCCAAATCTTTAACTATTAGAAACTATCACAACCCCAGAGATTTTGAAATCTTGGGATTGTAGGTATATAATGTCTATGTATTTATCATAAAGAATAAAGTATCAGAATGTTTTTTTTTTTATATATATTTATAAGAAAAACAGAAAAAATAAAACAGTGTTGATGAAGAACTTTCAGACAAGCAAAAGACAAACAGAAAACAGAGATATGAATGAAGTTTATTTGTTCTAAAAGCATACACAAGGCACTGTGTGACAGAAAATTCAAAACAAGCTCGAATTTGGTTTTTAGTGAAGCTTCTTGATCCCAGGGAATGAGGGAAGGATCGAGATGAGAGCATCATTGTATCCTACAGGCTCTGTTTCGAAGGAGAAAACGAGAAAAATCATTATGCGGAAAGTCTTCAGAAGAAAAGGAAAGGTTAAAGAAGAAGAAAGACTTGCCTCCATCCTCTCGGAGTATTTTGACAACCTCGCCGGTAACATCAGACTGGAAGATTGTTCGAGAAACAGAGACGCAATGTTAACAGACTTGGTGGAAGCAAGAGATAGATAATTACTATATCAGAAATTCAAGTGGGATGTTATATAACCTCGATCGGGAATTGGCCACCGAGTTGTTCAATGTAACACAGAACTTGACCTTCTTTCACTTGATCTTTCTGTCAGAGTAAACAAACGCAAAGACGAGAGTAATCAGCGATTTCCCAGTAAATCAAACACTCTCTTCTGCTTCAAGAAGATTGTTGTTACCTCTTTACAGGACGAAGGAGTACGTTTCCCCTTTATGGTTTTAGATCTCCTGAAAAACCCTACCTGCACATTACCACACCATCTAGATTGGGAACCACATTGTGATTGGAAAACTTTTTGCAATTTTTTAAACAGAAAACTAGCATTCTAAAGTTACTGAGTCAAATGAAAGTTAACATTTTGCCTTTAAGTTATGTAGTCTCTTACTTTTGGAGATCGAAGAATCATCAAACCCTGATCAGCAGCTGAAGATGCTGGTTTCGTGATAGCCAATGAAGTCGAGGAAGCTGATCCATTCGAATCAGGACTCTCCGTACTTGCATTTGCAGTAACCGCAGCAGGAACTGGCTGAGGTTGTGGACTACTTTTGTCAGCTACGTTCCTTGCTACATATAGGCGGAAACCCCCCAGCTATTAGAATGTGCAAATGAAAGACGTAGAAAAAATTAGATAAGAATACTATACGAAAACTTAGCTGAGATAACTATTCAAAAGAGCAGTTACATAACTAAAACTCAATTGAGTGGAGACTTACTTTCAGTTCAAATTCTGCAATTGACGAGGAATTGCAAATTTCAGTGACGAGAGCTTCCACCTAGAAGAATCGATATAAAGATGAAATGCATCCAAATAAAAAACAGACTAAAATGTCTTTATTGTGCACACAGCAAGTAAAATTCACATGAATCATGTTCCACTAGCTCATCAAGATTACAAATTCTCTTCGCTTATATTTGCCAAAGATAAGAGCAAAAGAAATTCGGAAATCATCAGCCAGAGTTCCTCAAATGACATCCTTATAATTTACTGGAAAATGAACCCACCTCAGAGGGCTTGGGAACGAGTTGAGCGTTCAACGGATATGACTTGGTCTCTTCAGAATCTTCTACTTCTACAGTAGCTATGGATAAGAAGGTTAAGTAAGAAAATATTTATACTTTCCATGCACATATGAGTCCAGCTATGAACACACTCAATGTACACAACATATAGATAGTAAAACCGCTAAAATCTGCGTCTATCAAAGATCAGAAAACATAGAGAGAGAATAAGCGTACCTGATGCTTCCGCAGCTGGAAAAGTAGACACTTGGACAGCTTTCACTGATCCAAGACTTGTCCTCAGACTCAGGTACTTCACCGGCCTTTGCTTAACCAATGACCGTTGATTGCATGGTATATGCAAGCTTCCAGATCTTACTATACTAAGGTCTACTGCCGAGATTTTAATTTTAGGAACTCCTAGGCTACCTAAAACAGACACCAAACTCTCAATTGCCGAAACAAGATGGATCCAAAAGTGATCTCACTCATTTTGTAAGTTGTGCATAAGCAAAGTATATAAGAACAAAATTCATGTTAACCTAGCTCCATGTATGCTTAACAATGAGAGATTAGTACTCTTGTTCAGTATACAGTATAAAAGAATACATTTTTTACAATAAACATTAACAATGCCAACCTCAGGGCAATGGCGAAAATCGGTGTATCGATGAAACTTGGTAAGAAACTATAAGTCATTATTCAATTCATTTGCAGATGAAAAGTAGCCTTGAATCTCAACACCACTGAGACGAATACTTGGGAGAAATTCTTCAACTTTAGATCTCTAATTTTGTACCAAAAAAATCAATCTAATTAAGTCCCTATCACTCGAATCCCCAAAGTTTCAAACTTCTCAACGAATATATGAGAACAGAACAAAACTAAGAAATGAATCAAATTTGAACGTGCAAACAAAAACCCGGTTTCGTATACGATCCCAAAGAAAACTGGAACAACAAGACAAGAACATAGAGGTTAGAGAAACTTACAGGAAGCCATGGAGGGAGACAAGGAATTTGAGAGAGAGAATGAGATTATAAAGCCGAT